TTTTAGGTAGAAAATATTTGTGGATAAAGCATTAAATCTGAAATGCCTAGACTTAAAGGCAAAAGTTTCAAATCTTGGCTGTACTGATTCCACCTTTCATCCTTCAGAAGAAGATTAACTGAATGTCAGGCAACTTACAATGCATGGGGATTCTAGATGATAAGCCATAAAAAATCAATCATGTTGCTAGGAGCCAGAGTGTGTCTACTGCTCCCAGATCTATTGTGAATCCCAGCGATTCAGAATGATCTCAGAAAATAGTAGGTTTTGAGGCCAGATTTCTAGAAGGGGATGCTTCAAATACCACGCAAGCCCTCTAGTTGTGCTCCCGGAGTCCTATAATTGAAAAGTTGCCAAAGCCATAGTATATTAGTAGCTTGCATGTTTGTGTACAGCTGTTAAAGGGTATGTCTACACTACCACCCTAGTTCGAACTAGGGTGATAATGTAGGCAACCGGAGTTGCAAATGAAGCCCGGGATTTGACTTTCCCGGGCTTCATTTGCATCTCGCCGGGCGCCGCCATTTTTAAATATCCGCGCCGCGCGGCTACATGCGGCACGGAATCCGCACTAGCGGACATTTAAAAATGGCGGCGCCCGGCGAGATGCAAATGAAGCCCAGGAAAGTCAAATCCCGGGCTTCATTTGCAACTCCGATTGCCTACATTACCACCCTAGTTCGAACTAGGGTGGTAGTGTAGACATACCCAAACATAGTTATTTGGGATATACCTCAGCCCCTGTAATGACTCCTTGTGTTTGAGGTGGTTTGTTTTATTATTCTTAATCAAAATTTGGAAAAAACATGCCCCAAAGAGAATTATACACTTCTCTCATCATCTTTGACAACAGGATGTCCTCTCATACCTTCTTCCATAAGAAAGAGAATTCCCTTAACCGTTGTGTGCAAAGCATGGTACTGAAATGTAATACTCATTAAGCTGATTGATCTTGGACTGAATGTTCCAACTTGCTAGCTGCTGCTCATCTGTAAGACGAAGTTACTCATATCCGGAACAATTAAAAACACCAATCTGAAATAAGCAAATTTCATGCAACCTGATGTCTATGAATTTTATATTTTTGGTTTAAAAGAGTTCTCTCTCTTTTCAAATTCTCCTCCCTGGAAGCGGAACTGGGCAGGAAGAAGTCAGGCAGCGGTGGGAAGAGGCAAAGCAGAAGACTAGGGATGTGAACTAGTTGACTATCCAATAAGCAAATGCTTATTGGACAGTCGACACTAGTTGACTAATCGCTCTTCCCCTTTTGCTGCCTCTATCCGTGGAGAGCCTGGGGCCTGCTGGGGACTCCCCCGCTGACCCTGGGCTTTATGCGGTGCTGCCACTTTGAAACGCCGTGGAGAGCATGGAGCCAGCAGGGGACTGCTTGAGTCCTCCACTGGCACTGTGCTCCCTGTAGCTCTCCTAGGGCTGTTGCTACACTTCAAAGGCGGAGGCGCCCTTACTGACTAATCAAATAGCCAATTAATCTAACTTTAACATCCCAACAGAGGGCAGGGGTGGGGAGAACCTGGGGAAGGATGGGGCATTGGGGGGGAAAAGGATGGAGTGGGGGCAGGATCTAGGCCAAGCTGAAGAGAGCATCCCCTGTCAGATTAGAAACACAGACTGATTTGTCCCAGGCCTACAACTCCTTAGGGAGGGTCCTGTACCTAGTGTTGGCCATTAGTTTTGGAATGATCAATCTGGATAACTGACCAGTCATATATTGGTCAAGTAACGTAATATACTGTCAAATAGTTTAACACACTACTTTATTTGAATGACAGTAAGATGTAGTGGTCTTCAATAGGCTTAGCCTTAGACACTTATGCATAACTACAAAACACAAGTTACTGAATTATTGTATCTCCTAAAAATGTGAAACACAATGAAATGAAGTTCTAAAAAATGAAAGAATGGTGACATACTGCACTCAGAAAGGAGCACTGCTTATGTCAGGGCGTTCTCTGGAATATTTGACAATATTTGACTGATTAAAAAAATAAGCCAGTCAATTGATATTATGTGACTGATCAATTGACTGGCTTGCCAAGCCAAGTAGTACCTGAAAGTACAGTAAATTAGCATATATAACCCATGGGTTATACGTGTTTTTACAAACCCCGGCCCCGCTCCCTCCGCGGGGTATACATGTCTGTGGTATACAAGTTTATTTTTACTCATAAGCAGCTCTGCCCCATTAAAACTTGGTCAGCTCCGCTCCGCTGTAGGGAGGGTCTGACGAGTTTCCAGCACACCTGCGCTGTGCTCTCCATTCCCCTGCCCAGAGGAGGGTGGGTTGCGCCTGGCTGCGGCTGCGCAGGGCTGGGCATGAATGAGGCTCCCCACCCACAGGCTGCACTACACTCTCCGTTCCCCCTGCTAGCAGCAGGATGGCTACCTAACAAAAGATGGGTGGAATGCAGAACATTGGCAGTTTATTCTGTTATGTGCAATTACCGTGAATTAGCCTATAGAACCTGCGGGTAATACACATCCACAGGTAATCTAAGGTTGGCTTTTTTTTACACAGCAAAGAACAACAGCGGGTTATACACAACTGCGGGTTATACACGAGTGCAGGTTATATATGCTAAAACACAGTACTTTTAACTTCCTCTTTTCTGAGTAAACTTCAACTAGACTGTCTCATTTACGCAAAGAAAATACAGCTAGACATTTTCAATCTACTATATATTTAAGTTTGTCTGTCTGTCCAAGAACTCCTCCCAAACTGTAAGAGCTAGGACCACCAAATTCAGTATACTGCTTCCTCTTATCATAACTTAAAAGCAAGATAAGGGTTTGGTTGTGCTAGGAAAATGGGATGTGCCTGGAATGGGACTGCTTCTCAGAAAACCATACAGAAAAGAGACAGACTCACCAGGCAGGTGAAAGGGGTTCCATGCCCCCTTCCTTTGGGATTGTTCCAGCCCTGGGCCTCCCACCCTCCCAGGGGCCTTGCAGGAAGGATGGGGGGGGGCTGAGGCTCCCCCCAGTTTGTCTGGGGACATTGCTGGCTGTTCCCCTTCATCAGGGAGTGAGGGGAAAGTGCAGTTTGCTGGGTTCCTCACTCTGGATGGAGGAACACAGGGGAGCAGACAAACATAGACCTGACCATGCTGGGGGACAAACACCCCTGCCCTGGCTGTGCCTGCTGGAGTTGCAGCAGACATGTAAAGGTGCTTCTCACTTGGCCCCAAGCTGCTGTGGAGAAAAAGTGAGGGGTAATCCTCTCTCCCTGGAACAACCTGCGTACTGAATCCCTCATCCTCAGCCCCAGCCCTGAGCAATGACTTGGACAAAGCACGTACATTTTCTTTTCTAAAAATCAGTGACAACCCAAGCAATGATGGTAAATCTTCTAGTATATTATAACATATGCAACTTCAAACAAATACAAACACAGCCATAACCTACAAACCATCACCTGTGGCTGAAGCCATAGAGCATGTGAGGGGAGTGTGAGGAGTGTCTTTCTCTTCCTCAGTCAGGAGCCACATCAGTGAGGGGTGTTTTTTGGTGGGGGGAGGAGGGGAAGGTTCTCGCTTGTATGCAGCCCCCTGCTGATTTTTCTCTGGGTCAGTGGTCCCCGACCCAAAAAAGGTTCCCCCCCGCCATACAGAGTCATAAATCCTTCAGTGAGCACCATGTGGGTGGAACCCCCATGCCCATGCAGCTTATTGTATGATCCTGGCATCAGAGGATTCCGTCTTCCTGGGCATTCCTCTCTTATATTGACAACAAAAATGCTTGTTTTTTGAGATGTTGATGCTTGTACCCCAGGTGCAATTGGAATAAGACTGCAAAACAGCTGTCACATTAAGTACTTTCTGTCACAACTGGTGACCTAGGGGTGAAAGGCTTCATATCACGTTACCAGTTCCCATGGCCATCCATTCCCTGGAGCCAAGGATCTGGCTCTTAAAATTTCAGTGATTATGTTTTCAGTAGTGGAATTAATATGCCTAGTCCGATTGCCTTACTAAAATTTACTTACAGGGTTACTTGTACTGACCAAAGAATTTGTAGGTCAGTTTTAATGAATTTTATACTAGTTGTGAAAAATGCACCATTTTGTTTCTAGTGGTCCCTAGGAATGTTTGCTTCCAGTGGTCCCTAAGAATGTTTAGCAACCATCCTACCTAATTTCTTTGATTATAAATTAATTACCATATCTCTTAACATTATTTGTTAAATACTTATTCAGCTTTACCCTGTTCAAAAAGTTTATTTAGCTGTGTATATATGTCCTTACTAAAAAGTCATTCACAGTAAAAGCACCCATGGCTCAATGATATTACAAAGTCTTTCATTTATATTTAGACCATACCGTTCCTTTTCTAACACAAGGATTGTCCTTAAATGAGCAAAGATCTAATCTTTGAGTAAAAATATCATCAAAACCTATTATGGCAAAATTAATCAGTCTCTTGATATTTTGGATTTGATTTTTTTGCATTCAATAAAATGATTTAGCTTTCTCTTATCCATTTCAGTTTCAGAAAACATTTACATTAACTTTCACAAGACCAACTTCACTATTGCTTCAGAATTAAATGTGGCCTCCAGTTCTTGTTTTTCAAAATCCTCTTGGAAAAGTAAAGTTCTTGTTTCTAAATAGACTGGTCAGAGTCTGGTACTGCTACTGCTTTGGAGGTAGCATCTTTCATATGCAAGTATTAGTGTGACACACGCAGAGTCACTCACTCCAAAAGATGGACTATTACCAAAAAGAGAACAGGGGCGTCATGCATTTAAAATCCAGTGTAAGGCAAAAAATTACTGCAGCGAGGAAACCTGCCAGATTCCCACCACCAGCCTGGCTCGATCTTAGAGGAAGAAAGAAAAAGGTGATCGGAGTATTTTAGGGGTCTTGTCTTAGTACGGGCTAGGGGGAGAGAGGTCCGAGCCGAACACCCTAACCAGTAAGGACGAGCCCCGGCCGGAGTTTATCCATCAAGTGCACAGACGAGGGGAGCGAGTAGCGGACTTACCCGGAGTAGCGGTTGTTGTAGCTGTAGCTCTGCACTGGCAGCCCGGTCTTGAGGAGGAGCAGACACAGCGGCAGAAGAGCCGCTCTCTGGCCCGTGGGAGTCACCGGGAGTTTCATGGTGCGAGGATGCCGCGAAGCGCCCGACTGCAGCAAGCGCCCCGCGGCCAAGTGGCTGGCAGCTCCCCTGCGCACAAAGCGGCCCGCGCCGATCCCCCGGGGGGAGGGGTCGCTGCTCCGCACCAGGCGCTCGGGCGGGGAAGAAAGTTGCGGGCAGAGGTTGGCCGGGAGAGGAGCGGGGCACCAGGCAGGCGCCCGCCAGTGTGAGCCCGCGGGCCCAGCCCCAATGTGGGCGCTGATCTGCAAGGGGAGGGGATGCGCAGCCAAAGCTGGGGAGGCAGGGAGCGGTGCAGGGGGAGGGCTGCGGGGCTGGGGCCAAGAGGCTGGAGCGCGGGGCGAGCAGCTGCATCAGAAGGGTCCCGGGCTGTGCGGGGGTGCAGGGGCTGCCTCACCCTCCCAAATCTCAGCGGCCTCCATTCGGAGCGCGCCTCGGCATCAGGCCGGCGATGGCTCTCCGCGCCCCCGCCAGGTACCGGGGAAGGAGCGTCCCCCTGGCACGAGCTGCCCGTTTCAGGGCAGGGCCCGTGCGGTGCAGGCCTGGGCCGTGCGGGGTTAACCCCTGGGCACCGGCTTTGGAGAGCTCCGGTAGGCGCGCAGCCGAGGGCATTGCTCAGGCAAAGGCGAGCACCACGTCGCTGGGAGGAGCGCGCTTTCCCGGGGAGCGCAGCACGTGGCATTTCGGCCCGCCAACACCGCGAGCTGCTGGGGAGGGCAACTGGGCAAGGCCCGGCCGCGCGTTCATTCACTCTCTGCGCTGTCCAAGTACCAGCCTAAATTACATCGCCCGCCCCCCAGTCAGGAGTGATTTGGGGCGATATGTTCCTGCGGGACGGATCCGAACCCAGTGCTGGCAGCAATACCGCGTGTGTTGGAAGTAGGCCTGTCTGGCTGCCATGCGGCCTCCCCCCCCAACTTACTCTCAGGGTGCTGGCACAAATCAATCCAGCAATGCTTGGCCTGCAAACCAGAGAGACGGTTAACACAGCGGAAGTGTCATTACTGGAGTTTGTTCTCCCTGATGGGGAGTTTGTTCAAAGAGAAACTTCCATAAAGCATCAATGGCAGAGAAAGGTGATTAGAGGTGGTGAAGGGCCCAGAGAGATGCATTGGATAATTATACATTTATAAAGATGACTTGGACTAGAAAGGTGTTGGGGTCTGGAAGAGAACTTACAGTAGTAAAATTAATGTCACCCACAGTTTTTTAAAAAGAGGATTTTAAAATAGTTTAAAAGTCGTCCTTGAGTCTCCCTGCCAAAACTTTATCATTACAGTTCCTCTATTTTGAACTGTTTTAATCTCCCTTGTGGGAAGGACCCACTCAAACAGGAAATTCAGAGAAGACAGTGGAAACTAGAGAACTATCAAATGGACAATATAAGTAATGAAAAAAACAATATTTTCTCTTCAAATCTTTTTCAATTATAGAAACCTCAGAGGTTCCTTGCAAAATATTAGGTAAGAAGTTAATTCTGAAATATATGTCCCTTTATGCAAGTCAATATACAAATATTAAAGAGATCACAAAGTTCTTCTGAAACACAGGTTTGAGAGCTCAGCAAACTAAATAATAAAAATAGTCAAGATTTGAACATGAAAAAAATGTTGTTCAATCCCTGTTGATGCTTCACTGGGGAAGTGGGAACTTTTTGAAAATAATTGTATTAAATTATGCATACTTTGTGCTCAATGATTGAAAGGCAAGTTAACATTTTCCTTTGTTTTCTTCCATGGTGGCACTGGAATCCAACACTAATCTACAATAGAAGTTAGAGATGAAAAAGACCTACTAGGTCATCCCTGTCCATTTCTCTGCTAATGCAGGATTATTCCCTTTTGTGCATTTACTAATGTTCACTCATTGATTTGACATTACACAAAGTTGTATCAGAGCTCCTCCACAAAGTAATTTATCCATAACAATCTCCTTCCCTTCCTTATGCCTCCCCTCAGAGTTGACGTAATATACCAGTTTACCAAAGTGTCAGCAATATATAGCATGTTGGGGGAATAGCATGTTAATGGAATATTCAGGTTAACTGAAAGTTATACTTTACCTCTGGAATACCATTTTTTTAAAGAATAAAATAAAATGAATTAAGTATAAAGTAGTATACAGGTACTCACCAATCCAGCAGTAGTACTGCACTGCAGAGTGGTTGGTTTCTTGAAGCACTTAGGTATAGATATCACTATGGATAGCAAATGGCATACACCCAGATCACTAAAAATATACTTTACAGTAAAACCACACTGAACATGATTTAATTGTTCTTCAGGATCTTGCAGTGCCTCAAGGTCATCATTACCAACATCACTTATCATTGTAGCTATAGAATGTGTAGGAGATTGGGCTAAATCTGTAATGACCTTATGACATACCCTGGAAGCTGCTTTTTTGAACAAATCCCTTTTTTCATCTTGCTTACCTGTCTTCTGTCTCATTTGCATAATATATTGGGCAGTATACTTGCTGACCAGAATTTTCTGTCCCATGCCCATTCTGACAACGGCTTGCCTGCTCACTGATCTGAACCTTCTCCACCAGCCACCTTGCTGGCCACACCTCTCTGCCTTACCAGCCACTTGTTTGTCAGCAGACTGTCATCACATCTGCTGTCACCTGCCTCTCTGCTGTGACCGCTGCACACGAGTCTGTTAATAATTTTCATCTCTGGCATTTGAGCCCTGGTTTAGCAAGGTCTTTTCAGCTGAGGGGGTGACTTCCTCACTTTGGGACAAGTTAAGCACAGCCTTGTTCCCAGTCTTCATACAATAATGAAATAACATTGAAACTGCATTTCACTAGCCCTTCATTCAGTACTAAAGTGGATTGTAACCCAACATCAGCCAAAGTCTATACATTTGAGCAGCACCATTTTATTGGCTTGATTTCTAGGTGTGTTCGTGTAAATACAGTCTGCTCCAGAAGTCTCTCCTCCTCCCAGCTAATTGCCAGGGGAGAATTCATTCAGTTCATTTAGACCACGAGTAGGGAACCTAAGGCCCAGGGGCCAGATGCAGCCCCCCGACTTGCTTGAATTTGGCCCCCCAAAGCTTAGCACTGGGGAGCCCACGCTGGTGCTTCAGCCCCCCAGCCACCTACCGTCAGGGCTTGAGTGCACAAAATCAACTAGCTTGGGCCCTCCCCAAGGCTCTGGTATGCAAAGGGAATGTGGGGAGTGTCTTCCTCCTTTTCAGTCAGGGACTTCTACTTTGCTTCTCACTTGTGTGCAGCTCCTGACTGATTTTTTCGATGGATCAGCAGCCCCCCAGACCCAAAAAGATTTCCCACCCCTGATTTAGACCCTTATACAAACAAAAGTCCTTGGAACACTGGAGTGACAATGTCCTCTGCTTGATTTGTTTCCTTTATTTTTACACAACTGTGCATGGAGTTTACACACCCAGGTGATGTTTTAGAAATAGTTCAGAGATTAAATAGGTAATGGAGAATACAGTCAGGAAGAGCAGAGCGACACAATTCTCATTGAAGAACATTTTGGAGGACCAGTCTTTAGATATCAAGCAGAGCCTTGTTACACAGAGGATATGTCTGCACTGCTGTCTAGCTGGATCAAAACTATCTCTAGAAGTGAAGCCACAGCTGCTCAGACTAGCTTTGTTCCTTCCCCACCCCCCAGACCTTGGGTACATATTTGAGGAGCTGCATCCTGAGCTTCTCAGCTTCATTGTAACAGTTACCTGAACTAGCTTAGATCGAAGCTTGCTCAGGCATGTCTACACGTGCTGCAGTTAAACCTATGGGTTTGCAGTGTGAACGTACTTTTAGCCTTACAAATTCTCTTCATTAGTGTGTAGACAAGTTTTGAGTCTTGGCAGGAATGTGGTTTTGTGGATTTTTGTTTTAGTGATGCTGTTTCTGTGAGAGAAGTGTGACATGCAGCAGGAAAGTTAGCTTTCTGCATGCCTAGGGTCAGTTCTTGAGGCCTGGATATGTCTGGTGTTCACCTGAGAGTTTGGAAAGAAGGTATTGCTCATGTGCCACTTTGACCACTTCTTTTCCATAAAGGGAGGACATATGTAAATTAATAAGTTGTAGTAAGATTCTACCTAAACTCTGCATCACAGATTTCTCCTTCAGTAGCAAACAGATCCACAAGGCCCTGACATCTGCTATCATTCACAGAGAGTCCATGCTAACAATATTTTCCAGATGCAGCGTTAATGTTTCCAGCGCAGTGGAAAGGAAATTTTTTTCTAACCTTTTAATCTTACTGGGGGAAAAAAATCAAGCCTGGAAATATCAAAAGAAGTGTAAGTGTTTCTTCCACTTTCCACTCAGATCATATGTGTTTATTATTTAACAACAATGCTTGCAAATTAATAGCATCTTTTCTTCTGGGATCCATAATTACTTTAAAACCACTAGGAAACCAGACCTTTTCATCTTTGTGAAGTTAGTATATGTTTTTGCATCTGTTCCACAGATGGAGAAACTGAGGCAGCGGTTAGACCAAGTATCTGGCAGATACTGCCCAAGGTTAGACCAAGTATCTGGCAGATACAAAAATAGAATCCATCTCTCTTGACATTGTTCTGTTGTTTAACCACTAGACCATACACCCTCCGATACTTATAGAGCAGTAGTTCCAAACCTTTTTTATACCAGGGATCAGCAAACCCATTCACAAACTTTTGGAGGATTGGTAACATTTTGTTTGCATATTTGCATATTCCTTATGCAAATGAATATTCAATTATGCAAATAAAATGTTACCAGTCTGCCAAAAGTTTGTGAATGGGTCTGCCGGTCAGCAGTATAAAAAACCCCAACCCTCAAAGCACCCAGTGCCAGCCCTAATCCCTAGAGCACCTTACCCCCCCCACTACTGCCCCAGCCACTGACCTGAGAGTCCCCTGCACCCAGCCCCTTCAGTGCCAGCCTCTTGCCCTCAGAGTCCCTAGTGCCAGCCCCACTGACCCAAATACCTCAGTGTCAGCCTCCTGTTTCCAGAGCCCCATTGCACCCAAACCCCTCAGGTCC